ATATCTATTCTTAGAGGTTACTGGGTTCAAGCATGTCGTTTGTAAGGGTGTTTAAACATTTATTGTTAAATGATTGAGAGCCTCTCGATCAAGTATTACCTTATAATTTCCTCAGTCTTTCAACAATCGGTATTTGATCTATTGATTAACTAATATGGGTTGAGTTTTACAAAGTCCCATTATGGTCTATTACTTACAATAGATGGAATAGAAAATATGGCATATAATTGAAGGTTTTAGTAACTAATATAATATTATAAAATGGAAAAAAGAATTCCTTGAGAACACCAAAGCTGAGAAGGCTCTGGACATTGAACTAAACAAAAAAGTCAAAATGTAAAACGCTTGTTGGTAGTCAAAATCTATGGGTATTCAATATGTTTTATGAAAGTTATAGGTTTGCCTTCTCAACTGTCATACCTTGTTTCTTTATCAAGCTTTGTTTTTTTAATTAACTTTCACTCTCTCTAACCCTACTCTCTCAATTATGTAACTCACCCAAATTTGTCAATTCCATTTTTTAAAATGATAATATGTTAGTAATAATTATAAAAGATAATTAATAAAATATAAAAAATACGTCAAATTATTTTTAGAAGTGAACTCATAAAATTACAGTGAATTCATTATTTTTAGTAGTTGAATATGATATTGAAAGGAGATAAGATTTTTCTAATTTTATTCTAAGAAGACAATTCAAAATGAAAGAAGCTTCTTCTTCTTCTCCTTGATGAACTAAACCAGTGATAATAAAAATGAAATATTTTATAATTAATAACAAAATAAAGTTGTGAAGGAAAAAAAATGAATGGATAAGTTTCGAAACTTGGTTTTGTTTGATATGACTTCGTCATGTCTCATGTACTAGGATAAAAATCTGGTAATAAATAAAGGTAAACCATATATTCAGTACTTAAAATATTACTTTTGTTTCATTTTGATACTTAAATTTAATTTTTCGTCAACCACACCTAATATTTTCATAAGATGGTGTCACGTTATCAAAAAAAATGTCAGATCAACAATTATGCTGATTTTTTAACGACAATATATCAAATTGAAACCTAAATAAACATGAGGTATATTTTTGAAAATATAAAGTTTAAGTACCAAAATGAAATAAAGGTAATAGTCCAGGCGCTAAACTTAGTTTGTCCTAAATAAAATAGTAATAATAAATTAATAATGATGGTGGATTGTTGTTCTTCTGAAATGTTCTGACGGCCGACCTCAACCTGTTGGGATTAAAAATTACATATCGCCTCTATTATTATTGATTCTCTTATGCGAAATAAATAAATTAAGGTTTTTTTATTTTTTATTTTTATATATTTAAAAATGTTTCTCTCTCCTGTTCTCATCCTATAAATAGCCAAGCAAAACCCAAAGCCATTTGTTCATCTGCCCCCCGTGTATACAAATATATTTCAAACTCAAAAACCACCCATTTTCATCCCCGAAATTTTTAAAAGATTGAATCTTGTTTATCTGCTTTTTTTTTTCTTTCGTCTTTAAGATAACGGACAGAGAAAGCAGTAAAGGAGAAAAAACAATGGTGATATTGTCAAAACCGGTAATTGAACAGTTTTCGTATATAAGAAACAAGCAGCCATCTGCCGCATTGTTCCCTCCTCTTATCCCCATGGTGGACCTCTCGAAACCTGACTCCAAACACCAGATAATCAAGGCCTGCGAAGAATTCGGATTCTTCAAGGTGATCAACCATGGGGTTCCCATGGAACTCATTTCCAGGCTGGAATCTGAGGCCACCGAGTTCTTCTCTTTACCTCTTTGCGAGAAAGAGAAAACAGGGCAGCCCAAACCTTATGGATATGGAAATAAAAGGATCGGTCCCAATGGTGATGTTGGTTGGGTCGAATATCTCCTCCTTACGACCAACCAAGACCCAAACCTCGCTACTGAAAACCCAGAAAGTTTCGGGTACTTTTTCTTTTTCTTACGGGAGACGGGATATCTGCCATGTTTTTCTTTTTTAACAGCTTTTGAATCTGTGTTGTTATTTCTCAGGGTTGCTTTGAATAATTATATGGCGGCGGTGAAGAAAATGGCATGCGAGATACTTGAAATGGTGGCAGATGGGCTAAAGATTCAACCGAGGAATTCGTTGAGTAAGCTGATGATGGACGAGCAGAGTGACTCTGTTTTCAGGCTTAACCATTACCCTCCATGCCCGGATGCCCTTCAATCTTTGAATGGAAATGTGATTGGATTCGGCGAACACACCGACCCACAAATCATTTCGGTTCTAAGATCCAACAACACTGCTGGCCTCCAAATCTCTCTTAGAGATGGCTCTTGGATTTCAGTCCCACCCGACCAGTACTCATTCTTCATCAATGTTGGTGATTCGTTACAGGTAAAAAAAAAAAGACCTTTTCTTTTCTTTTCCCCCAAACGCATGAAAAACAAGTCTAATTCATCCAAAATGTTTCAGGTAATGACGAATGGAAGGTTCAATAGTGTGAAGCATAGGGTGATGGCCAACAGTGTGAAATCAAGGCTGTCGATGATATATTTCTGTGGACCACCATTGAGTGAGAAAATAGCGCCGTTGCCATGCTTGATGAGGGGTGATCAACAGAGCTTGTACAAAGAATTTACATGGTTCGAGTACAAAAGATCAGCTTACGCTTCTCGATTGGCCCATAACAGGCTCATGCACTTTGAGAAAATAGCCGCCTCATGATTTCATCTTCTTCATTTTATAAAGTAGCTTTTCAGTATACTTAGAGAAGAAAAAAGAAATACAAGTAGAAAGCTTTTAGTATCAAACTTTTCCTGTAGCAGGGAAAAGAAACCGTGTAATTTAGTTGTTTTTTTCTTTCTTTCTGGGTTTGTTTTTACTGAATGTAACTGTCTTTCTTAATATAGTACAATTTTCATTTCCATCGTTATCATCAACCACTTTCATAAATGAAGTAATAAACAAGAAATAATACAACCCAACTAATTTTTTAATACACCGTCAATTTCAACTTCAATAATAAACAATAAATTATCTGATATGACATACAAACATGTCCATTTGTCGAGTCTGTTCATTTTTTTCTTCGTACCGGACATTGGAGGATTAAAATATTCGAACTTTACGTGCAAATTATTCCTCGAGTCCCTAACTTAAGATGGGGAAAGTCAAGGATTTATTAAGTGAAAACAATAGGGGTTGTAAATAAATACAAGATTAAAATAATTTTCGGAAGTGACGTAATCACGTTGGTAGTGATAAAATTAGTATTAGTAAGAGTATCTACCACAATATTGTAATTAAATACGTCATTTTTTATATTATATGGACTGGTTTGACCTTATTTCAATAATAAAATGATCAAATTGGTTTATTTAATAACAGAGATACTAATAATATATATGGTTTAGAAACCCTAGTTGCTCTCTCCTGCTTTCTATATATCAGGTTAATTTTCTTTCAATTTTATTTAGTATATTGTGATATTGATTGCCAGTCATTGATTTTAATAAGAATAATTATGTATTTGTGGTATGTTTTTTCTGTTTTTGTGACATATTTTCCGTCTTCTTTCTCGATCGTTTGGCGTTCTTTTTATTTTATGTTTTCTTAAGGTTGGATTTGATGACGCTCAAGATGATGTTTATTTATAATCATGTTGATCTTCCTTAATACAGACTCTCGAATTGAATCTGGATACGTGACTTTGTATTTGTGGATAATTTCTCACGACGCTCGACTTTGATTTGCGATTCTCGGTGCGTCTTTCAATAAATTAATCCCCTTTTATGATTCGTTTGTCGATGCAATCAAACTTATTCATATCTATTTTTCGTTCAAGTCTTTTGGTTGAGTTTTTAACATTTTAGTTTCAATTTTGGACATGTTCACTTTTTAATAAGATTATCGGCTTCTATACAAAAGAAAATAACCGAGATACTAATTGATACAGTCCTTATAATGGAAGGACCTGAAAAGTACTTTCACCTATAATTGTTGTATGTTAATGTTAGTATTACCAAGAATCAAGATTAGAGTTAAGTCCCCATCTTCATAACATCATTCCCAGAAACATATTAGAATTTATTTAAAATGATTTTAACTTTAGATTTAGTTGAAAACTTGTGATTCATTCGTTCTAATTACTTGAAACTAGGAGCACATTGAACTAATCAAGTATCAAATAACAAATTGAGTCATTAATAAAGTTATAATTAGAGGGAATAAACTTGTATGTTAGCATAAAATATCAAAGTTTAAACCTAAAAATAACAAAATATAATTGAAGAAATAACAATTTGGTTCTAATTACTTCAACACATTATCATTGGATTGCTTAATACATATTTATTTATTTGTCACGTTGAACATTTATTTATAAACGAATTGATTGATGGAATAAATGTTGGAAAATGAAAACTTGGGCCCTTGAATTTTAATTTTGTTATTATTTTGGGACCACTGAATTTTGTAAAGGAATAAGCAGGCACTTTCCATAGGCCCAACTGAAAAGGGGAAACAAGAGTGATTGGTGTTAAAAGCCTGGCGATGCTTTTACTTGATGTGTAAAACTACCGTTACGCATTTACGCATGTTTTGAACATTCATTTATATATAGAGAGAGAGCAAGTTTTGAATGGGTAATCCAACGACACGATGTAGTCGGCCCGTTTTAAGCTCTACTTTGCTCCAACAAACATATATATCACGTGCAGCTCCACGTCCCAATCATTTCTTATTTCATTGTATTTTTATATTTACAAGAAATGATAATTCTATTGCTACGACCCAAAAACAAATTGCTCTCTTGTTTTTGAGAAATCAAACCGTTGAAACCATGTTTGACAGACGGTTCGACCATTGCCGCCAATAATGGCTTTTGTTTTTCATTGACACGAGCCAAGCTAAATAGCATTAATAAAGAGTGCATCATAATGTGATTTTGTTTGCAGGATATGAACATGCCAACAAATTAAATCAATCAGGCAACCTGGATTCAGAACATTATGAATAGGATCAAACAACCTACCTTTTTCATCTGCTACAATAATCTGTTTACTTTCCTAATATCTATCTATTTATGGATTCAGAACATTATGAATAGGATCAAACAACCTACCTTGACTTTTCAACTACTTGTATCCAAGCTGAGGGTCGGGACTCGGCAAGTTAACAGCAATGACCAGCATCATCCATTCGAGAAACGCGATAACAGGAAGCCAGTCCATAAAACTATTGCCATGAAATTCCAGGGCCACTTGTCACCGCTCTAGCTTCAGCCAGAGATACAGCCATTGCCAGCATCATTTGCTCCTCGTAACTTTCGGGAATAATGGGCCCAGGCCCAGGAGCATTCTGAAAGCTGCCCCTAACTTCGTGTTCTTGGGGTATTTCCGGGATCCCACCGGCATCTTGTGTCACATCAGAGCTTGAAGAGCTAGTCCCAGCTTCAGCCCCCTCTGATCCATGATCTAAACCCCATTTCCCTTCATCTCTTGCTGGTGTCATCACACCATCACCGACTGCACTATCTGCAGGAGGATAGTTCCCGGCAACTGGGTCCAATTCCGACCTGTTATAAAACCTGCTGCTGCTTCCGGGAAGCATATTTCCATCATGGTTATGAGAAGAAGACTCTCCACCTGTCTGCTGACGCTCAGCAAGGGCAGCTATTGCACACGCAAGTCCACCGGAAGGAGATGATGATGAACCTGCAACTGTGGTCATGGCTGGTGAGATATAGCGGTCTCTGGAAACATAATGCACTGAAGCAGCAGCATCTACATGGTTGGAATTTCTGTGTCTGCTGTTCTCCTGTACCAGTTCAAATTTAAAGAATCAATCGAAGTTGGGCGTAATATAGTCAAGTAGAAATGGAGATCCTACACAAATAACAAGAGAGCATTAGAAACATTTTAAGATTACAAGTTACAAGATTTCTTCATTTATTTTTTTACCTGATTAAATAAATAACAAAGTTCACCGTTCAGCAACTTAAACCGAAACCAGTTTCCTAACCAAAAGAGCTATAGGGAAAACCCTTTGTTTAAACTGACAAGCATGAGTTCATTACAGCAGCTAAATACTTAAATTCTGCAATTAGTTTCGTACACAATCTCATCTAATTTTAAAAAAATGAACCTGAATCGACTGCCAAACCGCTTCCATGACCATTATCTCCTCAAGGTCTATGTCAAACTCATCATTCCTGCAATTTAAGCATTTGATAGTCAAAGAAGATTCATTCTAGAACAAAGTCTAGCTAGCCAGGTTTAAGCCTGACAGAGTAGTATGTAACTAGTGCTGTCGAAAACTAAATATTCTATCATCTTTTTCATTCAAAAGCAAATAACACTTTAAGTTAACCAAAATGAAATGCAATGACCGAGACCTTCCGATCTTTTTTCCTTTTCTTTTTTGCCATAACACCTGGAATGGTTGGCATCATCTTTACACCAATAGGAACTTTTTGAGCATCAGCTAAACATGCTTTTTTTTCTTTATCATTCAAAAGTAAACAGAATAAAGGTTACTCGCAAATACCCTAATTATTAAATAAAGATCTGCTTTTATAGTTTGCATCCATATCCTCTTCAAACATTGTCTATTCACAGGACCATTATCCATTAAATAACATGTTCTCAAGAAGGAATTTGTAGGTCAACTATTTACATATTAAAGTCACTTTCCATCTCCATCATCCTGTCTATGACAGGTGTCCCTTGTTACTTTAGGCACTCATCCGTTATCTCATCTTTACTCGTATGCAACAAATCTAACGAAATAATTTGTTCTCAAAAATACTTGTGAATGGTGAAATATTTTTCATTTTTCCTCGCACATGAATTAAACAAGAGAAAGCTTTGGTGCTGAATTAGCATACTGACAAATCATCACAGTGTAACTTTCAACTATAAAAGTCATCTCCAAATCCATTTTCAGATTACTCCTTCAGCCTACTTTTACCAATGCCATTTCAACTCCAGAATAAATAACAGAATCGCAGCTGTAACTCCAATACCATTTGCGTGAAACTCATTTGAACAAATCTAGCATAAAACATACCTTTTACTCTCACACAACAAAACTTGAGTAAACACAAAGAACTATCATACAACATGAGTTTAGAGATTTCAAAATCAAACAGAAAAATCAACACTTATACGAACCGAAAACCATGTACTATGCAATATTCCAATTTCCTCTTAACATATGAACAGTTAATCACTTTATCCTACAAATGGACGCAAAGCTACCTATAACTTTGCCTACCTGTTAGCCCTTGGATGTGAAGGTTGTCTGATCAAAGAGGCAGATGAAAATATCTCCTCCTCACCAGAGGATCCATCTGCAAATAACAAGAAAAAAGTAATGAAAAAAATCTCAAGACAGAACAATATCGAAGCAAGTACCAAATATAGGAAAAAATAGAATAACAATAAATTCAGACCTCCAACTGAATTGTACTGAACATCTCCTGCTGCAACTGCGGTGCTTGAAGAACCCAATTCTTGTCTCTTGTTCATTCTCTCTTCGTCGTCCTGAAGTTCCTGTTGCCTCATTCTAATTTGTGCTTCTATGACACGTTGTTCTTCCTGCAAAATTTAAATAGCAAAGGGAGTATCAAACTTATTTTTTATCTCGTGAAAATCACAGGAATTACACCCTTCTTTTATTCTCATTCACAAGGAGGTGGGAACTTACAATTTGCTCTATCCCTTTTTCCTCTTTTGTTTTCACACCTCGATACTCGACAGCATAGTTAGAGGTTTTGCAAAAAGGACACCTCAAATTGTCAAGGAATGCAAACATTGGAATACAAGTATACACACAACTAATCAATTTGAAAATTTCTATTCACTAATTGGAAGGATACTGTGTAGGACGGGTTGAATTAGGATTCTTCATTTGCAAAAAACACTCTGGTGCAAATAAGTTGTGTCAATATTTCATATAACTAGCAGTATCAGTAGTTCATCATCATTCGAAAAAAATCAGATATAGTTTACCCGTGCAAATGCTTTTCATGCAGCACCTCGATCTGTTGAGACTTGGATAATACTAAAATGCAAAAGTAGAAAAAGAAAATCATATTCATGTAATCAGAAGGTATTACATTCAACCACAACCACTTTTAAAAGACAATTAAAAATGAATTTCATTCAATAAAAGACCGGCAAAGAAGAGCACAGAGCAAGCATCGACTGATAAAGCAAAATGATTAAAAAGCAAGGAATTAGCAATCGGACAGTAAGCATAACAAGAAAGCGAATGAAATAAGCACAAACCAAGAAGCAAATTGGGCATTCTTCAAGATTGGAACAGCATTCTTCATCACCAGGATAGCAAGGCGCAAGCTTTGATTCAAGTATCAGCTTTCTTAGCTTCTTAATATCCACATCTTTATGAACATACAGCCCTTGTGGGCGCGTATACTTCTCATCGACAGCTTGTCTCCGCCTTCCCAATTTATTACCCATTAAAAAATACAAAACTGTATTCCGCTATCCAGCAAATCGTGCTCCTTTTTTTCAAGTCGATATTTGATTATTTTTCAAATTCTCAAGAACCAGAACCAACCAAAATTACTACACATTTGATTTGGTTATCTGGTTTACTAAAAATCACCAAGCATTATGAACAAACAATCACGTAGAATCTAAAACCGTAATTTGTAGCTTTACAACACAATCAAACACACACACTATAGCAGAACACAATTCTCATCCAAATTGATAATAGTTAACTACATAAAATCATGCCACATGAGTCCTGCTCCTGCAAATGCAACAACAACAAAAATCAAAATTAAATATATGTCACCAGTGAAACAATGCATCAAAAATGTAGTTTACGAACCAAAAGTTGATTAGGAGAAAAACCCTAATTTCTGAATTAGTAAAAGAAATTAACTTACCAAGTCTCCACCTTTCACAGCTGAATTGGCCAGTGCAATCCTTCCGGAAACATGGTCATAACTATAATTAAACCGAAGAAAGGAAACATTAACACTAAACGAAAAGGTAAAAAATCGTCGCAGAGACGGATTAGTTTCACAAGGATTAACACAAAATGGAGCCAAAAGACAAAGCTTTCGAAACAAAACAAAATCGATGCAAATAAACAAACCAGAAAAAGAAAAGAACTTTATTAAATTATGGGTAGTTTGAGAGATGGAAAAGAAAAACTGACCTTGAAACCTGGAAGGTAATTGCTGAAGCGAATTTGGAAACTTAGATCGACAGAAAGAAAGAGAGAGAGAGACTTTGGTAACGAGAATAGAAACACAATCAGAACTTTCTCTCAGAAAAAGAACGAGATTTTCTTTCTTTTTTTTTTTTTAAATTGTAATTTGTTTATGTTTTCATTTTCTTCGTATTATCTTGAATGTTTTGGTTTCTTTCGGTTGTTTGGATGGAAAGTTTTTTATATAAAGACAAAACAAAATTAGGAATTTTTTATTATTTAATTTTGGAGTTGATACTGCAAAATCACTATTTCTTATTTATTTAGTACTCAAATTGTTGGATTCTTCTAATGCAAATTATGAAATTGATGACATCTCCTATTTTGATTTAATGGACCGTCGATTACATTAAATACTTCCAATGCTGAATAATTTGATACTAATCATAATAATTAATTATGTGGATGAATATTTTTTTATTCTTTTGAATTAATCTATCATAAAAATTTTATTTTGAAAAGGCAGAGAAAGACGGATATTTAAAATTAATTGAAATAAATTAATAAAGAATAATTTTTAAATTAATAAAATATATTAAAAATAATTGTATTATTAAACATAGCATTAAAAATAATTTTATGATGTAGGGTTTTGCTTTCGTATCTGAGAAAATGATTAAAAATTTTATGATGTATTATCAATTTTTAGGCATTTTTCTCAAAAAATCACCGGTGATTGGTATGTTTACCGATCTAACACCGGTCATACTATATTTTTCGATTTAGCACTCTTAGTAGTAAAGTGTGCCCCATGCACCGTGCTATATGCTGATTTGGCGCCACGTGGGGTAAGGCGTGCCCCCTGAAGCGCGCCTTATGCTGACATAGATACACGTGGGTATAGCGCGGTCCCTGAGGCGCGTTTTACGCCACGTAGAGGTATAGCGCGAGGCAGGGGCCGCGCCAGACCTTTATATAATTATATAAGGCGCGGTGCTGGTACCGCGCCTTGTATAACGACTTCGGCTATAAATAACCTTCTCCCTTGTTAAGTTCCTCACATCTCTCCTCTCAACTTATAAATTAATACAAAAATTCCGTCAACGAGTCAATAATTCTGGCAATCTTCTCATGTTTAATTTAGAAGTTCGTGTGATTTTTCGTTATAAGGTAATTTTGTTATAAATTTTTTTATTATACTTATTGTTTATTATGATTATTTGAAAAAAATATTATACTAATTATTTTCAAGTATTTTTTGTGTTTGTAAAATTGGAAAGCGGGAACATACATCGAAATAGTTTTGCGGTGCAGGTAATAATATAAAATTATATTATTTAAATTATTTACGTTGATGTGTAAAAATTTTATTGTGTTATATTTTCGTTCATATATTATTTATTTAATCAGGTTTGTTTTAGTTATTTTTTTGCAGATATAATATTGCCACACTTTTAAACTCAAAGAATGACGCGACTTTCATCTATTGTTTATTATGATGGTGAAATTCGAGAAGATGAAATCGGCGTTGTTTTCGTATCAAATGAGCGTGTTAAAATATCATTCAAGAGAAACATAACTCTTGAGGAGCTGATAACGAAGATTTCGAGGAAAAGAATGTCGTCGTTGTAGTACAAATTTCCAACGTCATTGTTGCCATTAACTTATACAACGTTCGAACTTTCGAACAATGATGGTTGAAGCTCAAAGTAATTATTCAGACGCCTATATTGAGATGTATGCATATTTTGTTCAATTGCGTGTTGTTCGGGGTCAATCATTAAGCTCCCACTATGGACTGCCTAAACAAGTTGATCAAGTTGACAGCCCGACTACAGTAATGTGTAATGATTTTAATGCCATAACGGGGAGACATTCATCCGCAACTCCTTACGATATGTACGGAGGTGGGTCCACGAACAATCAGTATGGCAACACCGCGTCCGGTTCAAGGGGAAGACATTCATCTGCAAATTTCTTTGACCATATGGAGATGTCATCGACGCAACCATCTGTGCAGTTTCCATTTGATACGATGGCTTCAAGCTCCAGGGGGAGGCATTCGACTGCGAGCTTTTTCGATCTCAATGTCGATATGTCTTCTAGTTCAAGGGGAAGGCGTGCAAGTAGTAGGTTATTCTACCTAAATGTGTAGCGCATGGAGGAACCATCATCTCCACCAGAAGAACCACTTCGTGAGCCTGGTGCAGATGGTGCTGAGACTGGACTATTCATTCACCCAGAATCACCGCAATTCAACTCCGATAATGATGAAGTTCCAGGAAATGTGGCACAAACTGACCCTCATGCACACATGTATGAAGTTGATTATGGTGCAATGTACGAGCCAGAATTTACGGATATGTCTCATCTCGGTGACTATGGATATTACTCATCAATAAATAATGGTGAGTTATCTTTAGGCATGGAGTTTTCAAGCAAAGAAGAAGCGGTGATGGCTATAAAAAATTACAATATATGTAATTTTGTTCAGTCCAGAGTCAACCGATCCACGACCGAAAAATATGTACGCTACTGTGGCCGAAGTGAAAACGGATACAATGGATGGTTCGTATATAAAAAATGAAGAGGAAAAACAACATATGAGAACTAACAGTATACAACGGTCCTCGCACATATTGTGCTGGAGGGGTCAACAAAGATCATCCCAACTGTGACTCTGAAATGATATGCCAAGCCATCATGCTCATGGTAAAAACAAGCTCTCATATAGCTGCTGCAGTGTTGATTTTAGCTATACAATCGCAGTATGTGTACACTGTCTCCTATAAAAAAGCTTGGTTGGCAAAACAAAATGTCATTGTCAAACTTCATGGCGAATGAGATGCATCTTACAACGAACTTCCAGGTTGGTTTAGGCAGGTGCGAACGTTGAATCCTGGGACAATTGTGGAATTCAAAACCTCATATGCATACCATCATGATCGAGTTCTTCGCGATCGATGCCAATTCTACCGGGTATTTTGGAGTTACCCACAGTGCGTTAATGATGTCAAATACTGTAAGCCTGTGGTCCCTTTCTTGTATGGAAAATACAAGCAAGTTTTATTATTGGCAGTTGTCCAAGATGGCAATCGCAACATTCTTCCAGTTGCTTTTGCTCTTGTCGAATGAGCAGATACAGATTCTTGGGCTTTTTTCCTCCGAAATTTACGTGCACATGTTATCATAAGGGAAAACATCTGTGTCACTTCAGATCGCGGAGCTGGGATAAAAGCAACAATGAAGTCTTTGGGTTCAATGTGTCAACCACCCTTTGTCCAACATAGGTATTGTCTCTGACACATAGCTGCGAACTACCATGGAAGGTACAAGAAGAATGATGAGCATCAATTAATTGTGCGCATGGGTAAGTGAAACTGGTGTAGTTTCTTTTCTTTCGATCGTTTTAATTTTGCAAAGAAAATAGGTTAGTAAGTTATACATTTTTTGATCAGGTTACGAACTACTTCCTCGAACGTTTGAATCAATGCTTCAAGATTTACGGGCGAAGAACGAGGAAGGATACGATTACATCAGCCTCATCGATAAAGAAATGTGGACGAACGCATATGATGGTGGATATCGATATGGACACATGATGACCAACTTTGCAGAGGCAATCAATTCAACCTTAAAGGGTGCACGTCACTTACCAATAGCGTCTTTGGTAAAGACTACATATTTTTGTTTAGGGGCGCTTTTTGCGAAGCTCAGAGGACAAGCTCAAACCTGGATGCAAGGCGGTCATGTCTATCACCCTAAATTAGTTGCAGATCTAGAAAAAATTCTGCATCAAATGGAATGTTTATAACAAGCTTCTCTAGAAGGCATGAAATGTTTCGTGTCACAGAGTTGTCGCGACCTATTCAAGGGATTGAAGATGTGTCGTTAAGAGTAAATCTAAGGGACAGAACGTGCGACTGCGGATTTTTTCAAGCTCTAAAGTATCCATGCTCTCATGTGATAGTAGCTTGTTCGCATACATGTTAAGACTATAACCATTTTGTGGATCCCGTATACCTGCTATCTGAAGTTTTTAAGGTATACGAATTTGAGTTTCGCCCCATAGGTAATGACAGAGACCCTGATGAGGTTCAAGATTAGCTTTCGATTGTACCAAATCCGAGTTTATTGAGGGAGTGTGGTCGTCCAAAATCCAATCGAATTCATTGTGATATGGATATTCGAGAAAGATCTAGACAAGACAGAAGATGTGGGCATTGTAGAAACCCAGGACACACTAGAAAAACATGTCCACTTCTATTGCCATCGAGTAACAATTGATGAGGAAATGATATATTTGTTTATCAAATAATAATTCTTGTACTTTAATTTGCATTTACTTCAAGTTAAATCATTCGATAATCGCTGATGAAGATTAAAAAAGATACAATATGAGATTGGATGTTTGCGTTATATGTGATTATAATAAAAGAGATAATAAGT